TTAGCTTGTTCCAAGTAGGTGCATTAGACCACAGCGCCATCTCACCAGTCCCTAGTTTGTTTTTTTAAGACAGTGTCTCTCTCTGTAGTTTAGTCTGGCCTTGAACTCACTGTCTATCCCAGGTTGGCTTCAAATTCACAATGGATCTTCCTGCCTCAGACTCCAGAGTGCTGGGATTACAGGCTGGAATTATAGACGTGCACACCACAACCAGCCATTCACGTTGTATTTAATTCCAAACATTTTCATCAGCCTAAAGGAAATCCTTTAATTATTAGGCAATCACTTCTCTTTTCATCCCCCATGTGACAACTACCAGTGTGTTTCTGTCCTTACGGATTTATGTATCCTAGATCTGAATATGGAGTCACACATATAAATGGAGTCATACAGTATATGACCTGTTATTTATTTATTTTTGGCAGAACCGGGGATTGAACTCAAGCCCTTGCACTTGCCAGGCAAGCGCTTATTCTACTGAGCCATTTCCCCAGCCCTATATATGACCTTTTGTGTCTGGCTTCTTTCTCTGACTGTGTTTTTAAGGTTCATCCATGTAGCACATACTTACGCTTCCTTTGTTTTTATGGCTGGTTAATATTCCATTGTATGTACGTTCCACTGTTGGATTACCCATTCATTTAGTGGTGGGCATTTAGGTTGTTTTCATCTCTTGGTTATTGCTATAAACATTTGTGTACCAGTATTTAAGTACCTGTTTTTTAGTTCTTTGGGCTATGTCAAGAATGGAATTGCAGGGTCAAATGGCAATTACAGATTTAACTTTTTGAGAATCCACTGCCCCGTTTTCCAGCAGCAGAACAGCTGCTGTACCAGTTTACAGTCGTATCAGCAATGAACAACAGTTCCAAGATACATTCTCACTAACAATTGTGATTTTTCTATTGGTTTGGTTTTTGGATAGAATCTGTTCTAATGGGTGGAAGATGCTGTATCATTGTACTATTGATATGCGTTTCCATAATCATTAATAATGCCAAGCATTTAAAAATTTTTTTCCCATTTCCTCATGGGTGAACACACCCAGTGGCAGGAAGTCCTTTTATTATAAATGCTTATGACAGTAATATAAGAGTTACAGATGTATTTAGAGAGTGAGCCACTATTCCAGGGTGCTGAAGACCTATTTACAGCTGCAATAATAAGAAAAGAGTAGGGTGTGGAATAAGCGGATAACTTTTAAGGTTACAGGCCTGCGATGTCTTTTCCTGGAGGCCTCTGATGTACTCTTGCGGCAGTTTACAGAAAGAGTTGCTGTTTCCTGGCTGCTGTTGTTTTTCCTGGAGTTGTGAGTCTGGGCCCTGCTGCAATTTCACACAGGATTGTTGTAAGCAAAGGCCCAGGAGGCCCACAGGAGGAAGGTTACTCTACTGGATAGTGCATTCCTGCCTTGCCTGGGTTGTAGTTCATAGTCCACTTGCTCCAAGGAAAGGTGGCATACATAGCCCAGGGACATGCATGGTGGAAGAACAGCTGCTTACCTCGTGGCTGATGGGAAACAGAGAAACATGGTTTTTCTTTTTCTTTTCCTTTGTTCTTCTCTCTTCCCTCTTCCCTCTTCCCCACATCTCCCCCCTTTATTTTTTAATGCTGGGATCAAACCCAGGGCCTCACACACACGAGACAAACGTGTCCAAGTGAGATGCATGGTTATGAAATAATCAACTCTGATGCTGAGCATTTTTTTTCCTGTATTTTAGGGAAGGGTCTACAGGGTGTTCAGGGTCTCACTACTAGATCGGACTCATAGTGATTCTCCTGTTTTTTTTTTTATTTATTTATTTTTTTAAGGTTCTTTCAGTTTTTGGTTTTTTTGGCAGAACTGGGGATTGAACTCAGATCCTTGCATTTGTCAGTCAAGCGCTTATCCTACTGAGCCATCTCCCCGGCCCGATTCTCCTGTTTACAGCCTCCCAAGAGCTGGGACTACAGGCACGTGCTACCATGCCCAGTCTCAGTCTCCATCTCAGTGCGCCCCCAGGGTGGGGCCAGCATGATAGGCCCAGGGATCGAACCCCTGACCCCTGCACCTACTTGCAGGTGCTTTAATCTGCTGAGGTATTTGGCTGGCCCTGAGCATTTTCTTTTTTTATTTATTTTTAAATCTTT